GATGAAGTAGTTTAACACCTTCTGTTACCTTTGTTCTAAATGTGGCCTCTATTGATCCCATATCCACTATAACTAATATGAGTCACGGTTGGGTCACTATTCAATTTATGTTTAGAATAGCAATTATTCTGAAAAATCCTCGCCTGTATATAGGCGAGGTATTTTGATGAAAAGAACCACGGATATTACGTTATCATGTTATGCATGTGATAACAAGATAATCATGTATTTTATCCTGTAATTTGTAAAACTGAGCAAACGACTTTCTACAACGCTGGAAAAATAATAACTCAATTTAGCTAATATACATCGGGATTATATTTGGAATAATATAACTACTACTCTGCAAAGAGTAATAAAGAGTAAATAATTAGTTGCGTCAAATGTATTTTAATGAATTTATTTTATACCACATACCTAAGATATATTAGTCCATACCATCCAAAATAGAATTGTCTAATCTACGCCATTAACCATAAATACATGTGTCGGTATAATGATGTAAATTAGAGTATTATTAGCTTGAAATCATAACAATATTAGGATTATAACGAATAAGCCTATTTTAATCACTTTTACTGTTTATTATTCTGCATCAGAATATATTAAATGTAAAAATACATTACATTGGTATTAATATACATTACCTACGTATGTATGTACTGTATGTGTATGTATTAAACTTAGTCTCAGTTTTCTTTAAGTCCATAATTTTGAGAAACTTGACTTCTAAAAGTAACCCCATACAGGTTTACGACGCTTTGCTAATTGCCTACTCAAACATTAAATATTTCAAAAATAAAATCCATCATTTTGAAAATAGAACGTAGAACATAGAATGACGATATTTTGTTTCTTTTTTATAAAATTTAATACATTCTACTCGTATATTTTACGGAGTCACCAGTAAAGACATCAATTATATTATGTTTTTTTAATAAAACGAATTATGTTATTTTTTATATTATTATTAAACAATAAAAATTATAACTATCTGGCTATAATCCACCGCCAAGCGTTATGGATAAAGCTTTTGATCGATACTGATATTGACAATTTATAGTTTACGTTGGTCGATTGGAAATAAATAGATGTTGGATACTCGGTTAATCTAATATTGATTTTTCGGTTTCCGTAACATGTAGACCTGTCAAATCCGCGTATGAGCTTTTTTCTAAATTTTTTTGTTTGTGATTATATTAGCGCATGATTGAGAGTTATATCGAGATAATTTGACATTGTATTAAGTCATTTATTATTTTTAGGTGGTTCACTCAGTGTTTAGACGCCGGGAAAACCTAAAAAAATGTTGTTTTGACTTTGAACGGGACGGCCTAATTGCTACAAGTAGGAGTGTGACGTCAGAGCCTTCAAGTTGTTGTCAACGATAAAGTACCATCCAAGGGTATCAGTATCATAAATATTTGACCACTAAACAATACTTAGATATTTATCAAAGGTTTTTGTTTAACACAAATGTTCTTAATTCCTTAATTTTAATCGTGTATTCATCATCACTTCTTATTGAAAAATTTTATATACTGCAAAATTACCAAGTCAATTAACAATATCAAAATATTATTGGATTGCATCCTATGGCCCAATATTTTTGACATATCGTCAAATAATGATAAATATTTTTATTAAATCATGTACATGGCCACAATGATCTATAGGCAGAGGGAAGGTAGTGTCTTTCAACACGCTTTTGTCATTTCATTCATTTTTACAACATAACAAAAATTTAATTGTACCTACAAGTTTTATTACATCTATCAAATTAAGTTTTACTATAATATATATTATTGTAGTCTATTTGTGTTTTCAAACAAATAGTGAATATCTTTAATAACTTTTATACACTATTATTATAATTTACGACATATGAAAGTATTATCGCAACAAAGAATCGATGAAGCATGTGAGCACTCTCAAAACAACCGGCAAATAAAATTGTATCCAACAAAACAAACATGCTACAATAAAAGTCTCTTTAGGGATTGAACAGTAAAAATCTATTAATCGGACAATCCTGACCTCCGGCGGCGATCACAATTTATAGAGAGGGAACGTACACGAGCTCGTTGTGGTTTGTAATGACGACATGATTGTGGACATACGACATGGAAAACAAGTAAAAATACAGCCGTGATAAATGAGGGGATGGAAGAGGCACGCGAACATCATTTACTGGCGCGCGTCTGATCTTCATCTCGCTCTGAAAGGTCAGCGTTGTGGATTTGTGATACCTTTTAACTGTTCAACAATAAACTATTTCAGATATTTTTAGTTTGTTTTGACATAATGTTGATACCGTAAGTGCAGTGCGTAGAGTAGATGTGAAGGTATTGAAAACGAGAGATAAGGAGTAAAATGCCATTTGTGAAATCAGTATAATAATAATAAAAACCCTAAACAATTCGCTATCTACTCGCAAACTAAGCTTAGCTTTTAAGCTTGTATTATGGGTACCGAATAACTGACATACATGTTAATTTTTGTAAATACATACATACATAGCATACATTAAACACACCCTGATCAATACAAACAATGCTCATAAAAACAAACGCCTGCAACGTGTAAGAAATCGAACCCAGGATCATCAGAAGTTGATGTTAACCCACTAAAACAACGACGCCGCAAGTATACAGTACAAATTATTGACATTATTACAGCTTTTGGCATATAATATTCTATGAATGTATTTATATTATTCTTGGATAATGAAAATAAAAAAAATATACATTCGGAAAAAGAGATGATATCATGTAAATAAAATAGATGTTTTTACTTGAAATTGTGTCGATTTATGCCCTTTAAACATCTAACAATACATAAGTATAATAATAACAATAATAAATTTATTAATATTATAGTATATTAAAAATAGCAGATCTATACATCCTCAGATGAATAAATATGAATTAAGGACCTTCAAATAAATGTCCTCCATATAAAATTTAATTTGAACAATGACCTTATAACATCTACAGTAACGATAGTCACCCCTTTTTAGGAGCCTTTTTATAAGAACATGCCACAGTTAAAACTTCTGTGGATATGCGGGTAACTACGTTCTTTACTAATTTAAGTAAATAATTCTAACAATATCTGTTAGAATTATTTACTTAAATTAGTAAAGAACGTAGATTAGAGAGTAGAGTACATTACCTGTAATAATTCACATTTATAATTTTCATTAACAGTGTTTATATTAATTATGACATCCTCTAATTTATACGAACTACTTTTAATTAACCTTTGTATAAAAAATCTAATGTGTGTGTTAACTTGGTTAAAAATCAATTTCATCCTGTGAGTACAATAATGTCGGCAATAAACTTCCTATTGCTATGCCAACGCCCTTTTCCCGCCTCACTAACACGCTCAAATCATGAAGTCAATGACTACTGAATTATATAATTAATCGCACTACATAGATAACTTATTAATACAACACAAAAAGCAAAAAAAAAATTTTGAACAAATAACTTACTAAACATATAGCACTGTCATTAAGTTCTCGAGGTCTAAGTAGTTTTACGGGTGGTACATTTGTCTAACCATAACTGACAAACAGATGCGAGCCCGCTGCGAGATAACAGGGGCGAACAATCTCAGAAATGCCGATAGTTATTTATGGCGAAGACAGACGACGACGGGGCGCAGCGCTTAACAAAAGACCAGACAAATGACAGAGATAATCTTTTAGTTAGCTCTCAGTCTACTATAATCATTTTACAATCTTTGTAACTAATAAGCAATGTGATACGCTTCTACTATCTACGTCTATGATTAAAAGTAAAAAACTTACCGTACCAATTCTAATTTAATCAACATTGTATAATCATTAGTTGCTTTCAATGATCTAACTGATAATAAAAATAACCACTATACATTTAAGACAAATATAGTAATTTCATCATAAGCATATTTTAAATAGAGTTACGAGTTTATACAAAGACATAGCAATGGAATTACATATTCGTAATATCTAAGAGTAATATTACCTTTTTATAGTGTAAAATTTTATGACTTAATAAAGTGTTAGTCTGTTTTAGTTACAGAGACAACTGTTACACGCCAGTCGACACGCATCGAGCAGCGACAAATGCCTTTCAAATTCCGAAAGCCATCATGCGTGGGCGCAGACGCCGAACAGAAACGCCGAGTTCAATTGAATCAGAGAGTACTACTATACGGCCACTTGTCCATCTGACGGTTCTAACACTATTTTGAAGCCGGCAAATCAACGAAACTACCAGTAGGACATTATTCGACCTTTTATTTAGCCACTATACCGCTCGAATCTCCATGATTTAATACAATATCGTTCTGTATCTACATACTTCTCGCATAAAACATTCCGGTTGTTCTACCGGACATAATTTCGACTGAAACCCGTATCGTTAACTAAGAGCCTATGGGTACCGGAGCGCGGCCCTGAGGCCGCCGCCGAACCACCCACGCCATCGCTTCAAGATTTATAACATTACCCATATTCGGCCTACGAATGGCGCCAATTCGACGCTTCAAATTAAAATCCATCGCGAATGCAAAACGATAACACGAGCAGTCGCTGCTTTGATAGATAGTTACATTGTTTTTGATTTGTGGAGTACAGTATACGAATAACATAAGTAAAACCATAGCACACTTGATTATATGATGCACGTCATTAATAGATTTGATACTATGTACATAGACAACATATGTCATACTAAAAGGACAAATTAAACAAGTCTCATGGATTTATTTTCTTACGGACAATAATGGTCTATGACAAAACAGACAACGTTATATACGTATCATGTGGACATAGAGTACTATAAATAAGGCAAACCTCACACGAAACTCATCTTATGATGTGCAACTCGAAAATAGCTATTATATATACACCGACAGATCTTCTACTTGGGCGAGCTAAGCGTCGTGAAGACGATTCACATGAGAGGGCGATTAATCGCATGTAAAACGTGCCTGGTAGATGGACTTACTCTATCACTTTGTTCTCAGGAGGTATAACGCGGCCCGGCATTAAAATTTTCTTGTGTAGAACTCCAGCCTCTTGTAGATCCTATAACAAAGCAACCAGTCATTATTCGAATGAGCACTTCGTATTTACGATACTTCTAAACTTTGTACATGTCGGGGACAAAGACAACATTAAATATGAAATGACAAACGTACTTTTCTGTAGATGTATAATAGAATTCCTTGGTCGGCGACCTAAATCTTTGTATGCAGGTATGGTGTTTTTAAGAATTATAAGTTAGAAGATAACTTTATAATAAATAATATTTGATTACACATCTAAAATATCACGTACATCAGACGTATCAATGATTTTTTTTAAATCGACAGTCACAAATCGAATAAGCGTTTTTATTATGAAGTTATTACAAAATTACAATAGTTACGAGGTACTTTAATTATCTCTATGACTATATCGAAACAGGTTTAAATGATTATAATTATTCAAATGTATTTGAGATTATATACTGTAAGTAGAGCGTGAAAGAGTTGAAACGAATGATATAATTTGGTGATGATCCCTGTGTCATTGGATGACAACTTCGAATAAGATTATAGCCGAAACATGAAATGACGAAATAAGATAGTCGGATAATTGATCCGATACATTTGTTCGGGTTATTTAACATTTTAATTAACTTAAACATTATTATTCAACAGCTTTCATTAAGCTTGTACATACGGCCGTACCGTTCACTTAAAGAATATAGAATAAGAAAAATTCTATAATACATACATTTTAGAATTTATAAATAAATTGCATTATTAAATTGCAAAGTGCATTCATTTAATTTAGAAGAAATGACGACAAGCGTCATAATTAGGAATCAACTTAGGGAATTCATTTGACTATTAACGGTTAATTATAGCGCCTGGATCAGAGAATGATATAATTTAATTCAGATCTATACATTTCATACTTACACTTTAAAAGGCACGGTCACGACCTTTCGAAGTGTAAGTATGAAATGTATAGATCTATTACGTTTTACTGAGTGCAATATCTATTAGTTTATAGAAAAATACTGACATATCAAGTTTCTATATGCCTACTCTTATTTAACAATATTGCTAAACCTGACGCAGACGCCAATCTACAAAAGCAAGAAAGAAAAGAAAATTACCTATTATAATATAAATATAAAATACAATAAAAAAAATATTTGTTTATCCGTATTTGACCCGATCGCTTTACCTTACTTTGAAAACTATGATCTCTATTCAACCTTTAACCTAAAAAAAACTATAAATGTATGTGTGTTAGAATAAAAATATTGATTTATAATGAAATGTAAATTATAATACAGGATTTTCCACTATTGTTTTAATATAATAAATTATATGCCGATTAGTTAAAAATATAATGTATAAAGATACGACTGTTACAATAGAGGTATCGATTAATTTACCTATTCTAAAAAATATATTGTGGCGCCAGCGTAAATAAATTATTCAGTGACCAAGCAATAAACAATTTAAAGAATATCATATTACTATAATAGAATAGTAAGTTCGCGATTCAAATTTGAACATCATTTGCATTTAATCAACTTTGTATATCTCATTTATTGATATACAAAGTTGATGTATGAATATTTTTATATAAACAATGTAATAGGAAAATTCAGACTACCATCTAGTCCATTCAATGAAATTAAATACTGATTTTATAAACAGATGTATAATATACATAGAAAAATACATACTTCCACGATGGAAACTTGTATTCATACAAGTTTCCATCGAGTAATTAATCGAACTACCTAGATATTCATCGATTCAATATATCGGTTCGACATTTTTTGTATAGCATTGAAATGACACGTGCTCGATATTACAACAGGTGTGGATGCAAAGAAGATAACATTTAGACATCCGCCTAATTCTAAACGTTAGTCACTTAAATATGAAATTATTATATTGTATCCCTCGTGGAGCTGACACAAGCTATATTGAAGAAAGCTCTTCGTATTTAAATTATGATTCATTTTAATCCCTTTTCACTGACAATAACTATGACAGGCGAGTACTTACAAACTTCTGTGTACACAAAATGATGTTTCGTAGACATGCATATATCCTAATGTCTGCTTCGTACACTATTACTATACATTATATAATTAAGATAAATAATTAACATATGGCATAAAGCCATATATTTTACACGCTTCGTGTAACCCGACTGCCCTATGAAAAAACGCATTTACGGATTACGCTGGAAGATGACTGCAAGGTAATCAGACATAAGTACGAACAATGGATTGTAGTGGAAAATGTGACTTTCAATCGTAAAACTGAACATAATTTTATTGCTTCCAAGTATTCTAAAGCGCCGCACCAACCCAGCATCCTACAGACGATATCCCAAGTCGTAACTCTGAGGCTAAGCAAGTTAGTGTTGCCAATTGAGTAGTGTTTACTCAAAATGTAGGGGTTAAATAGTTTCTAGGGTATGTAAGTATGACTATATATTATTACTGAATGTAATTTATATGCACTAATTTTATTTCAATTCATTTTTAAATAAATTAACTGTGAAATTAGTGTGTGTGCTATTTATCAAAATACAAATTCAAAACATTTTATCTTATATTGACATAGAACTAGAACTTTTAAATATATACTAATTCTAAATAATATATTTAAAAACGATGTACAAATCTTTCAAGACTTCTAAAAATCACTTCGACGGGATATAAATTTAAATGCTGGCGACACTGCCACTTGTTTATTACAATATATACACACAAGTAAATATTATTTTTCATTATTAGTAACAAGCCTCTAAGGAATGTTTATGAGTCTAGTACGTATGTCGCGACTAGGAGTCGCGTGTGAAAGTAACTCTAGATATATTGGGATAGAAAGAAAACATTTACAATGTTAGAAAGACTTTAGCAGAAATAAATATTAATACTAAGAGCATACCGGTCTTAAACCATAAGAGTTCTTATGATTTATCTGTGCAAACTACAAAGGATGTAGATAAGTACATAATAATAGCGAATTCTTCGTCTTCATCAGTATTGTCAATGTAGCAATGTTTAGTTAGTATAGATTTGGAAATTTTTAAATGCATCAGTGTTAATCAAGTTAGTTCCTTTTTGAACGTAGCCTGGGGGGCAACCCCAGGTTTCGTTCCCCAAATCTTGGTTCCCCAGACTCTAGGATACTATTTCTTGTACCATGGTGGCACACATACAAAAAAATAGCATAAAATAAGCACTTGACCTATTTTTTTAAAAGAGACCTTTTTATGTCTGTTTACACAATAAATTAATTTACAACACTTATACAAAAGATTCCCATAAGTACCTATATAAAAAACTACAATTCGAACATTTATAGGAGCAAACTTCACCTATTTGTTAAAAGAATTGTCGATATCATTTATTTTAATATATCGAGTAATATACAGAATTATTATTCCGTTACATTGATAAGTTCTGAAAATTGACAATATATTTTTTACACGCACCCTTGGATTGTAGTATCTGGCTGTATTTGTTAGATCTATAACAGCTCCCAACTTAGGTACGTCCCGTAGTAAAGTCGGTATATCCCATCTGGAAAAAACATATTGAATAAATAGATACAGAATACAAATACATATTATTAATATACAGTAATCGAATATCACCTATCCACCCTTCTTTCGCACAGATTTAGGTCATATGCATGTATTATAAATATAAACTTGAAACTGGAAGAAAGTATCTAAGTCAGTGAAAACTGTAAAAATACATTGCGTCGTTTTGAAACATGCAGAGGATCAGAGAGACAAAAATTGCAACCTTGTGATAGGTACTAATTGAAGATGTAGTATAAATATATATGCAAATGTGAAATACTTCAAAAAAAAATTAAGCCCATACATAAACGAATGTCAAATTAAACTTTTTCAATTATCATATCATCATTACGACAACAGGAATCAAAGGTTAAAAACAGCACTGTCAGTTTTTCAATTTGCATCGTGTCTGTCCGTCTGAGCCTTACAACGTAGAAACTAATGTAATCTATATATCCTCGCATTCTTTTGCACAAGAATTATATTGGACGATATTGTGATATAGAAATAAAATTGTGCCATAATTACTTAGTGGATTTATATCATTTTGTTTAATTCCGCTATCATTCCTAGATGTGAGACCACAAAAATTAGATCAAATTCTGACTATTAGATCTACAACCATATTGCGACGCGTATTCCGCCTGCAAACGAGGCACCATCAGGCAATGAATAGAGTTTGAATATAGTTAGCACAGGTAATGTAAAATTTCATATTCATCCATGAAAAGTATGCAATATGTATTAGTAGAAACGGTCAATAAAAATGCTTACATGTAATTAATTTCATTGTTGCCTTGCTGAACATTCTGTAACAAATAAAACGCATAATAAGTTAATACATATTATATTATCTACGGTTAATACAAATAATTATAATATGAAACAAATTATTTACACGGAATAAAAAGATATAATAATATTTATGATCAAATAACTTATATATAATTATGTAACTGAATCGATTGTCTTTACTTATTTTTTTTATATTATATAAAATATGATTATAATCATGCTTCTTGGAGTTTTAAAGATTATTAAAAAATGTAATGTTACTAGTAAAAGCTATTTCCAAACCCCAGTAATATACATTTTCATGCACTGAGATACCTTTTAAGGACCATCAAATGAAAAGAAGTAATATTTAACGTTGTGTACGTAACTAGCTATTTTAATGAAAGTTTGAAAAACGTAATATATTGTTAATTTCACGAAGTTATAGTTAGATTTCTATAGAGATTTAGTTTAATTTACTTAGCTCTGAATGACCTCTGCTACATCATATTGCCTATTGTGCCAGTTGTGTCATAATCAGAATATTTGGTAAAGAAGACGTACAATTTTAAATTTTGTGTCGGAAGCTTAGGACGTAGTTAATAGAGTAATAGTTTAGTTAATAGAGCCATTAACGCAAACTTACAGGCAAAGTTACAGACAATGGCCGTGGTCTACTTTGAGAAAGCCGCACTTGGGCGACGCTGTGGTGATAAGGGGGCAGATCAATCATTAGTAGCCCTACCTGACCGGTGTCATTGAACTTCAGTGAAGAGGGCCACCTGACGGGATCAAGTTTGGACACATATACGAAGCATAGATTTTAATATTAGAAGTCCCTCATAATTGAAGTATTAATCCAGAGAAAATTAATGTTTTTTTATAAATTGATAACATATATTTAAAAAAGAATGATACATTTGTTGAGCATGTGATTGACAAAGACAACAATCACATACAATATAAATAGGTACAAACGAATAAAAACTCTTTTGTTTTTTCAAAATCAAGACTATTCACGTTTTGGACTCACAAAAACGAATGCATTCAGCATTCGGTTTTTTCAATTTACACAAAAATTATTGATAAGTCATTTGAATTTAAAATAACCACATATAGTCCCGAAATTCTCTCGACATAAATCTCGAAAAACCCATCTTTGTTTCACCGCAGGCTAAAATTATGGGAAAAAATCAATTTTACCCCAAAATCACCTTAAATAAAATGTCAGGTCTCATAATAATAGGTTGTTAGATTGGTCATAATTTATCGACGGTGTTGACAAGATGTAAAAAGATGAAAAAGATTATGGAGCGCCAGGCGGTGTGTCTAAATGGGGTTAATTTTCAATTTCGATTCTTCGGTGGCCTCACTAAAATATGAGGCGATTTAAATAAATTCATACACTTATAGTACCGAGAAATGTGCATAAATTTTGGATATTGCTACTTGACATGCCTTTGATTAACATTTCATATAATCGATTAAAATTAAACAGTAAAATGGAAAGTTGCCCAATTTTAATACCGAATACCGATGTTTTTTTATCTTCATAGGAGGTACTCAGAATCGGCGCAATAAATTCATCGCATAACAAGCTTGCATTCGAAATAAAAGCCTGTTAATTACCATATCATATAAAAGCATGATAGTACATAAGACGCATTATTTTTAAGTCGGCCTGCGTAGACTAAAGAAAAAACATATTTTCTAGCTAACTATGGTCTGTATGAATCTTAAACTAAGTTGTACTTGGTTCTGTAGTTAGAACCGCTATTACTATTCCCGTTTGAATCTGACATTTTATGATATCCAAAGTGATCGTAAATATATTCGACGTAATTTTTAAACAGGTACTTAAGTAATACAAGTGGAGTATAACACATCATTTGGAATGTTTTTTAAAATACAAAAAAATATAATATGTGTGATCAAGATCAAACATTGCTTTTTTTTGTAAATACCACAAAAACAAGTCAATAAATAACACAAAAATAAATTACTACAAAAGCCTGAGTAAATTTAAACAATCGTGTGATCTGGGACCTTTGCCGCGATTTTCAATTAACCTTAAAGCAGCGGAACAAATAAAATGCCAAGACAAAGAAGTATATTGAAACCGCCAATATCAGTGTAAAAAGTGCGGTAGCACACAACCTTTATGAGAAACTAAAGAAAATAAATTCAATTTGACCTGATTGCTACTTTGCTGTGATAACAATAATGAAAATTATGAAAGAACTATTATTAAGCAACTTTGAAGTTTATTGTACTAATAATTGATTTTATTATTGCTATATATACATATTTGACTAATTAGTGATAAAATTCTGCGATTTCATATGAACAAACAGTATTACCACACACCATCTACAGACTACAAATTAACGTTCTTGTAATAACATTGCAAGCGATATATATATATATGTTTCGTCGCGAACTTTCTAGATTAATTTTATCGTTAGTTTTTTTTTATATATACCCTCAATATCGATGTTTATTACTCGCAACGCATAGCAATAGCAGTCGTACAAGCTGCCATGCACCACGCCCAGTTGTATCTGTGACTACGGCGCGAGTGTATGTCTATCGTTTCGAAAATTATCTCTGCATTCAACCTCACCTCACGTCTTCAAAGACCGGATCTACCGAAGGTGGATGTTCATCGAAGGCATTAGCAGAACAAGGTACGTGTGTGCATTATATTTGCTATTGTCAACGAGTTTTTAGAACATCGATTTATTCGTATACGTAATAGTCCCTATGTAGCATAAAGCCACCGCTATTTCGGATTGGTGCGAATGCTACATCTTTCTGGTGCCGAAACCCGGGACATTCCGCCTATTCGGGTTGTTGTGGTATTTTCTGGTTAAAGTGTAGGTTTTAATCTTACAGGCATATAATCGCTATAAAAGTAAATATATATATCGATATAAATATCCTGTGATCAATTTATACGCTCGTTTATACTACCGCACAGGTTAGGTATAAACCGTGTTCTTTGTGTTTACACAAATAGATAATTAATTTGTGTTTATTTTCTAATCGATACCTATCCTATCTTCACCCTACCTTCAAAGCTGTGTGAGCTCGAAAACCGGTATTTGTTCTATTATTCATCTAACAATTTATCGTATTTAATTTCTTTTTTTTACTTATCATTTCGTATGAGTATATCTTACAATTATTATTTATCGTTTTATATTCACGCTCATACTCTAGAGATAGACCGAGGCGCTAACTAATTATAATTAATATTATAATATCACGCTTATTTTATTTCGGAGCGGACAAATTAATTAACTGTTTTATTTGGGATATTATAACAATTTTAAATTCACGCCTAATAGATTTTTAGGGTTGACAGAGACTTCAAAAATCTTTTTTTTTTTTAATTTTTTATCGTGTTTAATTAAATCGTGTTTTTTTTTTTTTTTATTAATTAACTCTTTTATATAATACAAATAATCATGTCACTTTTAACGAAGCACACTTCTCGTAAAGTAGGTACTTTGAAAAAATCGAAATCGAAATCTATCGATAATGATTATACTGTACAGGACTTAGCGTCATTGCGCAGAAAACGGACTATTGCTTATAAACGGTTGTCTAAGGCGTTGGAAATCGGTAAATTGGCTTTAAGTGATAATTCTCAGCTTGATTTGTTTTTATCATATCATCAGGAAGTTAAACAAATCGCATCAAACTTCGAAGACGCTCATTTTGTAATTATTCGTTTATTGGATGACGAGGAAATCGATGATAACGAAATACAAGAATCTTTTGATGATATATATTTTCAGGTGTTGTCAATACATCGTTCTTTAACTAAAAATGACTCGTCCCATATCCCAAAAGGCTCATCATCAAATATTCGTTTACCTAAACTCATCCTCCCGAATTACTCGGGCAATATTAAATTATTTCCCGAGTATATTGATACATATAACGCATTGATACATAATTCTACTTCTCTTTCGGATACCGAAAAGTTTCATTATTTGATATCTTCTCTGAGCGGCGATGCATTGGCTGTAGTGAAGACTTTTCCTATGTCTCACGAATATTATCGGGATGCGTATGAAGCACTTGTTGCCCGTTATAAGTGTAAACGGACCTTAGCTTTCACGTGTTGGAGAGATATTCTCAGTATCCACTTTAAATATACTAACGCCTATGAATTTCAAAAATCATTAGATCAGTTTGAGGAGAATTTAAGTATTTTAAAAACACTTGACTTGCCAACTGCACATTGGGATTTCGTTCTAGTTTATCACATTTTGTCGAAATTAGATAAAGACCTACGCCGAAGTTTTGAAGAAAAATACTCTGACATCGAATTACCATCATATGATCAGCTCAAAAGGTTTTGCGATCTAAATGCGAAGCATTACTGCGCGATACTCATTTTTTGGACTTGCATCAAACAAATAAATCTTTTCTCAAAACCGGTACGCCTATGCAGTTTCAGCCCAAACGGATGAACGTGTCACATACACTTATCGCCGCAACTGATGCCACACCCGCTGACAACAAAAGCGGTTTGTACTATGCAAAATGTTCATATTGCAATGAGACACATTCTATATCATCATGTCCCGACTTCCTTCAAAAATCACTTGAGGAACGTATGAAAATTGCCAATGACAAACATTGGTGCTTTAATTGTCTGAAGCCCTCTCATCAATTAAAAAACTGTACTTCTATTTTCTCGTGCCGCACTTGCAAACGTAAACACCACACCTTACTCCATCGCGATAAAACTATCGAATCAAATCCTATCTCATCTTTGGTTTCAAGGTCTGAATCAAATACAACTGTATTACTGGCAACTGCAATCGTTCAGGTTAGAGATGCTTCAGGTAATCTGCAATCGTTTCGAGCCTTATTCGATACGGGAAGTCAAAGCAATTTCATAACGGAATCGGCCATGAATCAGTTAAAGCTAAAACCACGTCATTCAAACGTGAGCGTTTCTGGACTGGGAGAAGCAGAAACTTCTATAACTGGAGGTATCACGTGTTCCATAGCTACT